TAAAAAAAGTTTGGTCACACGTTATTTTAAGGCCCAATTCTTGCTATTAACAACCCATTAACTACGACTTTTCCCTCAATAAACTCCTAATTTGCTGCTTATTAATAGTTAGTAAGTTAGCTGTTATGTTTAGGTAGCCTATTGGGTAGGATTATGGTCATGCAGAATATGCTTTATAAGTACTAATAAACAGTCAATATGTTAATAATAGTCATGCTAATAAGCAACTTGTTATAGTGAGAATAGGTCTCTTTACTAAAGTGTTACAAAAAGTTTGTTTATTAACATGAGGCTGAGAAATGCTTTCGGATTTGCAAACAGATGAACTTAGAAAACGAAAAAAAATAAAAAGACTAATAATTCTACATACCATTAAATCAATCAATCCTCTCACATGTTGAACGTCACGCATCTTATAAGAAAAGAGAATTTTCTACAGTTCTACCATGGTGGTTTAGGAAATTTAGAAAACGCTTAAGGGTAAATGGAATGGTTGCACATAATATATTTACATAAAAATAACTAATCGCATACGTCAAAAAAAAAAAAAGAACTTCTTAATCGATGCTCTTTTCTAGAACACTGACGCGCGAATGCGCCACGAATGTATAACCACTAGTGATGGGAAGTCCGGTTCTTTTCCGCGAACTGGTTCTTTCGGACAGTTCGTTTCAATGAACCGGTTCAAAAAAAACGGTTAATCGGTTCTTTTACGCCCTAACGTAATGACGTCTTTCGCGATGACGTAATGATATCAAGTCTATCGTCCCGGGCCGGGATGAAAATACACATTCAAATATATAAAGTTAGTATTCATAATTCAGTCAGTTAAAACATCATAATCATGATCTGAAAAGTTTACAATTAAGTTTTGCAACTAAGCACCCAAATACAGTAACAGGCAGTGATGTGGTTAAATCGAACGATTCGTTCGCGAACCGGACATCACTAATAACCACAAGGTCAAAGGCACGTGCGTCAACCGGCTGTCTTTCAGGAGTCTGTCCGTGGATAGAGTGGATCTAACTACCTTAGCGCTTGTTTGCGACCTTATAAGAATAATTGGGGATTGATTGCGGTTACGATCTACTTTTGGAATGGCAAGAGGAAGTCGCAGTCGTCCTTCACCAGCACAAGCAAGGTATCTCAGACACTTTCACTTGGCTGATAGTATTGTAACGCACACTGCGTTGGCGAGCTGCAAGCTAACTTTGACAAAATGTAGGGATAACGTTAGAAGAGCATTATTCAAGAAAAACACCGGACTGCTCATAAAAACATTAGACTGAATGTTTGTTTGTTTGTTTGTTTGCTTATTCCTTTTGCGTATCCCAAATACATCCAGAACAGTAGGTAGAAGGTCAAACCAAAAACATGTTATTCTTACTGACCAGGAGTGGAAAACCCTTCATATCTGCATAGTATTCATTTATTTAAATGTATTTATTGATGCATAATATATGTCATTTGGTAGCCTATGACGCAAACCAGGTTTAAGACTTTATCTTCTTTCCATCTGAAGTTGCCAAAAGCAGCTCAAAGACATTTCTGGTTAATTCCTGATTCTGGTTAATGTAAAATATTTATTCTTTATATCCTATTTTCTATGTATATTCTATACGAGGCATATGCCAAGATAAGTTAAGTGACTACTTTTATGGGATTTTATAGTGACGTAAGTGGTTTTATACTTGGTTATTCTAGAACTTATTTCACCTTGTTTTCTTCTCAGTGCTCCTGCCCCATCCTATGCTCCAGCCCCCGCACCACCACCTCCTCCGATGGCAATGGCCCCTGCCATGGCCCAGCCCAAGCAGCCAGGTCTCATGGCCCAGATGGCCACCACAGCTGCCGGAGTGGCAGTCGGCTCGGCCGTAGGGCACGTGATGGGCAGTGCTATCACAGGTGCTTTCAGTGGAGGCAGCAGCAGCAGCTCAGAGGCACCCAAACCAGCACCCACATATCAGGTGATACCTGAAAAATGCCATATTTCTTGGTGAAAAACATTTTTGACGAATCACCACAACTTTTTTTTTTACAGAGTGTAACACTGCTGCCCACTTTTTCTACATTTAAAAATTGTAATGGCCACCTATTTTTTTTTTATCATAAAAAAAAGGTTTTCAGGTGCAGTTTTACATAAATTACAATCCTAGCATGCATATACAGTGGGTACGGAAAGTATTCAGACCCCCTTCAATTTTTCACTCTTTGTTATATTGCAGCCATTTGCTAAAATCATTTGTTAATTGCTTTCATCTCAAGGATGATCAGAAGAAATGGACAGCACCTGAGTTAAATATATGAGTGTCACAGCAAAGGGTCTGAATACTTAGAACCATGTGATATTTCAGTTTTTCTTTTTTAATAAATCTGCAAAAATGTCAACAATTCTGTGTTTTTCTGTCAATATGGGGTGCTGTGTGTACATTAATGAGGAAAAAAAATTAACTTAAATGATTTTAGCAAATGGCTGCAATATAACAAAGAGTGAAAAATTGAAGGGGGTCTGAATACTTTCCGTACCCACTGTATATATGGTGGTGATAAGATTTATTTTTATGTACTTTTTTAATATTCATGAAGAATATGGCACAGACTAATAAGTGTGACTGGTTATATCCATTCATCTTGTATTTATCTGTTTATTAACGGCTTGCAGGAGCCCTCACGACTTCCACCCTCTCAGTCTGGCCCATGTCTCTTTGAGGTGAGGCAGTTTCTGGACTGTGCAACGACTCAGGCTGATCTGAGCTTGTGCGAAGGCTTCAATGAAGCTCTTAAGCAGTGCAGACTCTCACATGGTAAGCCTCCCGTCAACACAAACATTAGACATGATCCTCATCTAGGACTGAACTAACATGCAATCGGTTATGTGAATCTCACAGACAACACAAAGAAATGACAAACTGAATAGTAATTTTGTTTCAAAGTTCTTGACATTTTAGAAAGTTTTAGAAAAAATACTCAAGAATGAAGTTAGAGATACACATGCATTTATGTACTATTACTAATAAAAAAACCTGTTCTTGGAATGACCTTCTGATATTTTGTCCCTTTAGGTGTAACATCTCTGGTGTGATGGAGATTGTGGTAGATCTAAACACTAAATGTAGTCAAATAAACTGTTGGTTCAGATTCTCAATATTTCCAGCAGTTAATGTGAATTACTTGTTTATAGCTGTTAAATAAACATTGGTACTTTTGAATGTCTGATCATGTAAATGATGTACAATTAAAGAGCTGCTATTTATCTTTTTTTCTTTGTTATTCATGCCATTCATATGTCATAATGTTGTGTAGCTTTTAGGCACATTACATGTTTAATGTGCACGTGGAACAGTGTGTCCATTTTGATAAAGTCTTGTTTATGATTTACAAGTATCTAATAGAGTTACAAAACAAAAGCCTGATAACTAGTTATATCACTCTTTCCAAACTACATTTGCACAGCAGGTCTTGATTGCACAATCTCACTGCGTTTGTCTGAAGACAACCAAAAATATTGGTTGTCTTCATAAGATAATCAAAAATATTGATAGCATTTTTTTTACTTTACACAAACAAGAAAGAACAGAAGATTTGATTTAATATGCAGCATAGAAACAATGTTTTCTAAAATTGCAACTATAGTAACATTAATTTCGATAAACAATCACTAACTCAACCTGTTTAAATCTCATATTGCTGACAGCTCAAGAGGCGTGAAAGTAATTCAGCACGCTGACCAATCACAGAGCTCGGTGAATAGGCGTCTCTGTCTTTCAACCAATCATAGAAAGCGGTTTATCACAAGGAAGCAGAACCCTATCGGGTCATTCTCACACTAGTTCAATAGTCAGCAGCAGTAAGTGTGAAATAATGCCGTTCATAAATGTGGAAACAAATTTACCTGCAAGCAAGTTTCCAGAAGACTTACTGAAAAGACTATGTACTACATTGGCTGCAGCTTTGATGAAACCGGAAGACGTGAGTATTGTAGCATTAGCTATGCAATGGTTCTCTCTCCACGTTAAATGTCTTGACCGTCTTGACCTTAGTAATCATAGATCTTAAAGCTCCGCCGTCATGTAATGCAATGGCTCATGTCTTTAGAGGATGAATCTGGTGGTGAAGACTGACCTGCCGATGATGATCGCAGGGTCTTGCTCCCCGTGTTTTATGATGTCCTTGTCTGCCATTGGAGTGACTGATACGGCGGAGAAAAATAAGGAGCACAGCGCCAAAATCTTCCAGTTTCTGAAAGGAGAGCTTGGGCTTAGCGATGACCGGTAAATGAATAAAAAAGACGGGAAAGCATAGGGTTGAAACACAATGAATATAATGGTTACTTACTTACCTCAATATTGGCCACTACTAGTTATACTAGTGCTTAAAATCTAATTATTCTAATAATTGGACTTTTAAATAAAACTTTTTACACATACACATTTAAAAGTTACAGTCATTCTCTCTGAAAGACAGACCAAAATATTGTTGATCGACGTTGCATTAATGGACATGTCTATTTTTGTCCAATAAAATACTTCCTGGAATTATAATGTCCCTCCTCCTTAATTAAAAATCCTACCTGCCATTATAGCAAATCAGCATTCATTTTTCATAGGGGCATTACCTCAAAATGGTCTGCTTAAGGGGTCATATGATGCGATTTCAATTTTTCCTTTCTCTTTGGAGTGTTACAAGCTCTTGGTGCATAAAGAAGATCTGTAAAGTTGCAAAGACTAAAGTCTCAAATCCAAAGAGATATTCTTTATAAAAGTTAAGAGTCAGCCACGCCTACCTAAAACGGCTCATTCTAACACGCCCCCACATATCTACGTCACTATCTGGGAAGACTTGCATAACGCCGCCCAAATGTTCACGCAAAGAAAGAAGGCGTAACTTTTATTCTCGCTGCAGTATTGTTGCCGCCGCCGCCATGTCGTGAAGATGCTATGTGCTTCGTTGTGAAAGCGAAACTACTTTGTTTGGCCTTCCAAAAGAGGACGATATCTGCTTCGTCATGCCTAGAGCCAAAATAATGTTCTTTTTAGCAGCATCATATGACCCCTTTAATAGTTTGCTTAAAAATAGTTTACTTAAATGAGACCTATGATGGAGCCAAATTTTGTGTTATAAAGTATAATGTCCTGATTTTCTTTCACTTCTGTGTTCTGTTGCAGTATTTTGATACTGTTCTACCCTCTGGAGCCATGGCAGATTGGGAAAAAAGGAACAGTGATGAGCTTCTTATGAGACTTCACATTCTTTTTATGTGATTCCTGATTGGGATTCAACTAGCTGGACATGCATTGCTCCTGGGTGATAGGACTGGTTTGCTCTTATAGGATTAAAAATATTTCCTAATTTTCTTGAATAGTAGCCTGTGATTTGAAAATAATCACTTTACTAAAATAAATATAAAATGCATTTAGCATTTTGATAGCAAACCGTATAGTTGGTTGGATGTGTCTATTTTTAGACAATAAGGTAAATAATAAGTTGATAAACTTGTTAGAGAGTTAATTGTATGAATTGAATTATGTATTACATTAGCTCAGTGTTTGTCACTTTTCCTGAGAAAGTGCCATCTTCAATCAATCAGTTTCTCTGTCAACCACATCTACGGGTCAAATCAGACCATAATCACCAGCCTACAAAAGCCATAGAAAATATCCATAACCATGTAGTCAGAGTGAGTTTTGATTTGTACGGATGTCAGTTGCATAGTACAGAGCATAAGTGCACACAAACAAAATGTATTTTCTCACTAATGTCTTTATCATTAACTGTGTTTGCCAAGTACATTGATTCAGAAAATTGCTAAAATTAAAATGGATAAACAATAAAAAAAAAAATGCTCTTGAATAAAACAGCTGTGTAATTCATTCAGGGGTTTTGGGATGATGTGGGTTGGTAGTATTTGCTTCCGGTGGCAGTAGACAAACAGTTTGGATCTATGTTTCATGGTTCAAGAAGAAAAGAAGAACACTCAGTTTTTTTTTTTCTGTTTTTTTTTTGCACATAAACATGTAATACATTGTAATTGTGTATACAATTCCTTAGTGTATACTGTAAAAACAGATTCTTCAAAGATTACTGGATTATGTTTTACAAGAAAATACAATTTCAGTCTTTTTACTTCAGTTAATTCAGTGTTACATGATGGTTCTTTGTAATTATTTGTGAAATTTACTATCAATTTCTGAAAATCCTACTCAATTTTTTTTTCAATGTGTATAGACAATTTTACTGCCAAGCAAGTTTTTAGTCATAACAGTAGTTTATTAGCCACTTAAGCTCAGGGCGTTTTTTGGTATTTTCGCCTAAATTTAACATACTCAAATTCAAATGTTTACCCTGCACACATACAATGGAGGATTTAAGCGTATGTAGGGGTATCTTCAATATCTTAGTTTTAGAGAAAAAATAATGCTTTGACGGCAATTCTTCAAATTAAAATATAATCTTGTCACGATTAAAATACCCTCGAGTTCCGACAGATAGCGCTCATTGCAAGAGATGAATGAAGAAAATAAAATGATTCAAAAGTTTATTAGCTAAACACAAAGTTCTCGTTTTATAGTCGAACTATAGTGCTTACAAAGCTTGAGGTCATTCCGTGCCCTTTATGGGGGTTTTAGGAACAGAGATTTAGGAACATGGTTTTAGGAGCAGAGCTCAGCGGGGTGTGGCGTAAATTAGTAGTAACGTTAGTAGGCGATACTTGTGCAGCAGTGTAGTCATTTCATTGCAGTTTTCACTGGGTTGTGTTTTAGTATAGAAGTCAGTACTTGTCAGAAAATGTCTTTGGAAATTTTCTTGGATTTGTTTTCGCAGCCATGTCGCTCTGTTTACATCTTTGCCAAGAAAAACAACATCCAGTTCGATTACAAGAAGATTTCGCTTTTTGAAGGTACAGTATCGTCTGATCTAAAACTGTTGTTTTTTAAGTGCAATTACATTGAATTTGCAGCATTCATCACAACTTTTTCATAGGAAGGAAAAGCTTACAGACTTATATTAGAAGTTCTTTTTATAATGAAATGCAGCGGTCTTTTTTATATAGGCTATATTTCTGTTACGTGTGAGGAAGTTGTGGTTAGACTACAGCATGCAATCTTTTATTGACAGTGTTGGGAGTAACGCATTACAAGTAACGCGAGTTATGTAATCAGATTACTTTTTTCAAGTAACTAGTAAAGTAACGCATTACTTTTTAATTTACAAGAGAATATCTGAGTTCCTTTTTAAAATAAGTAACGTAAGTTACTTTTTTTTCCAATTTATTGATTGACAGCTCTCCTGTCCCCAAGTTGAGAGAAATCAGATGTTACTGTAGTTCTAAAATAAATATGAATATGCATTAATTCATCTCACTCACAAAAAAAAAGAAACAGATTCAGTATTCCTCAAAATGAATAAAAATAATGCAACTCAGAATATGACGCAAACCTGCAATAATTAAATGTATGGAGTAACGCAATATTGTAATGCATTACTTTTAAAAGTAACTTTCCCCAGCACTGTTTATTGATATAGGCAGATGTGGCTGAATTCAGGTATTACAGAATTTAATGCTGTGTCACGCTAATCTGGCAGACAGTTACGTCGTTACTGCGTCTTTTGAGTTTTTACATTGTGCCATTTGTGTGCATAAAGGATCACTCTAATATTATAACATGAGTATTTTTCCAAAACGTAAATATGAGATCTGTCCCTCAGGTTATCAATATAGTGAAGAATATGGGAAAATCAACCTTCTTAGAAAAGCACCAGCAATCAAAGATGGAGACCTTTTCTTGGCTGAAAGGTATGTCTATGGATAGCAAGTTGTTGCTTGTTTTCGATTGATTTCAAAGTAGTTTTAATAGTATTTTCCTTTGACTCCAAGGCCCTCAACTCTCCACAACAATATTCGAAGGTGCCTTAGTTTTTTTTATAAATTCTTTTTTTTTTAAGTAACTAAAATAATTATGACATTTTTGTTGTTGTTTATTAAAAAATTTATAATATTTATTTTTAATTAAATCGTATTTTACTGTTTTTAAAAGTTGTTTTAGCTTATTTTTTGTGTTTAAATCATTTGAAGTCATCTTGAAGCCCCTGGTTGAAACCACTGCTCTAGATAAATATGAATGTAAGAGTCCAGTTTCAGAGAAACCTGTTGTTTGTTTTGTGCCTCTTGTGAAACTGTTCATTGTGTAAATGAACTGTTATTTCCTGTAGTGTTGCGATTATGCTCTACCTGGCTGAGAAGTTCCACACTCCGGACCACTGGTACCCAGCTGACTTGCAGAAGCGTGCTAGAGTAAATTAATATCTATCATGGCAACACTCTGCCATATGTATGGATCCAAGATGCTCTGGTTCAAGGTGAGTGACGTTTATAAATTCTCATTCAAAGTTACTGTGGTGAACAGAACAGCATTTAGATTTCAGCAACTCCCAAGCTGATGGTTCACTCCTGTTGCTTTGTGACCTTGGGACTGAAGCCTGCCTAGTCTTTAGAATTGCTACACAGTTAACTGCTAACTTTTTTAGTGTAATTATTTATAAATTGAATTAAATACTTTTCTTGTATTGCTGTAGCTCTTGATTCCAAAAGCTTTAGGAGTTGAGATTCCCAAGGAAAAGATGGACAATGCAGTAGAGGATCTTAATGCATCACTGAACCTTTTTGAGGAGAAGTTTCTGCAAGACAGACCATTCGTTGTTGGTGATCAAATCTCATTGGCCGATCTGGTTGCTATTGTGGAAATCATGCAGGTATGTATGCAGATTATTCAGTTTCAGATGAAGCAATATTATAACCTGAGAATTTAAGGCAGATAATATCTGACACTCGATTTATACTTGATAAGGCCTTTTTGTTTCAGCCTGTAGGTGCTGGTATGGATGTGTTTGAGAATAGACCCAAGCTCAAGGCATGGAAGGACAGAGTCAGAGCAGAAATTGGGGCTGGGCTGTTTGATGAGGCCCACCAGGCAATCCTCTATGCCCAGGAGGCAGTGAAAACCATGGACCCCAAAAAGATGGAACACTTTAAACCCAAAATTTTGAGATATTTCCTCTCATAAACAAACTGGTAGACATTGTTGGTTAAAACAGACATTTATTCATGAAAAAAAAGCTACTTTATAATTTTCTAAATACACTTTCCATTTTGTGTAATCACTAAGAATGAAATCAGGTTAAGTTGAATATGACATATAGCTTTTGTCATATTTCAGTGAATGAATGCAATAATCAACCTTTCTGTGTTAACTCGACCTCATAAAAAGAAGCAAACTTTGAACGTTTCCAGCTGTGTTCGCTCTCAAATTCTGAATTGCTGCATTCACTGTGACCTTATCATTTTAAAAACTTGGCAATAACACAGACACTCAATACAGCATTGTTCCAGAAAATCACTTAACACCCATGGGAAGGAGCTGGGAGGAATGTTTCCTCCCTCTGTGTTTATGGAATGTAATCAGATATTATATGATTTCCTGCAGAATACTCCGCATGATAAGGAATAGCATTTTGTTCATTTCTTGTAGAGAAAAGGGGTCCATTCAGTCAGCAGCATTTCCATTAAATCTCTCTAATATTGTCAATAAATGTATCTTTTGTTATCAGTCTCAGTGGTGTATTTACCCTCTTCTCTACAAGTTCATTATTCAGGGTTTTTTTCCACTTAGATTCTCTTATTTGTATTTTATTTTTCCATGTTTACATGTACTGCATTAAAATTAACTCTTGTTGGGCATTGTGGTTTTCTATTAAGAGGAACAGATAGTAAAAACTGGAACAATAACTAAACAATTACTCAATTTCTCATACAAAGCCATCATATGGTTAATCCTTATTTGGATGTCAACTATTGCTTTAAATCTGTTCTTGAGTAGTACATGATCTCCAATCTCAGAAAGTGAGATGACAATTTAGTGGGAAGTGTGTAAGTACCGCTCTGCGGCATCGTGGAAAGCCACAATATCAACAAAAGATTGTGCTTTCAGCGCACCCTGTCTCTGCCAATTTCTTTCTGAAATGCATCACTAAAATTAACCAAAACTCAGCGAATCATTCACACACAGACATGAGAAACATATCTATGGAAAGCTTGAAGTGTCTACTTTTAAATTAAGTACGTCTTATCTAAAACAAATATTCTCTGATGAAGTAATCCGTATGAAACCAACGCAAGGTCCAGTCTTTCCCGCCTGAGCTCATGATCAAGCCCACGCGCAGTGCGCTATTCATACGGGTAATCATCCACGTGAGACGCGCGAACCTGTAAACGCCCACATCACCTCCGTAAACAAAGAAGCAAGATTCATTTTTAGCATTCAAATATGCACTGTATGTTCGTCAATACTGTTTTCAAATGTTATCAGAACCGTTTTCACTTTATTAAGGGTTTTTTCTGTCTTTAATGCTCACACAGTTAAGCCAGCATATACATACCCTCAGGGTTTGAAACTAACACCCGCCAACCCGCCAAATGCGGGTAAAAATCAGCTGTGGCGGGGAACGCTGTCAAATAACTAGCCAATTTGGCGGGGTACTTTTCGTAAGTTATGTTCACTCATTAATTTCTTGGGGAAGTTGCATGTATGCAAGCCAAATTTGCGCAGGTTTAGCGCAAATACTGAACTCGTGAGACATCATGACATTATCGAGTATATTGCAAAATTCACCCAAAAATTAAAACTGTCTTCATTTAGGCTACTCAGCATCATGTCATTCCAAACCTGTATGAATTTCTTTCTTCTGTGGAACATAAAAGAAGATATTTTGAGAAATTCAAGAAATGTTTGTCCATACAGTAGAAATCAAGAGTAACCAAAATGGTTTGGTAACATTCTACAAAATATCTTTTGTGTTTTACAGAAGAAAGTAAGTCATACAGGTTTGGAAAGACATGAGGGTGAGGAAAGGATGACAGCATTTATTAGCAGTAAATTTCCTATGTTCTAGCACAAAATCAATGCTTATACTGTCAAGTGCATTTCTATGTGACAAAAATGCAGTAGGCTATTAGTTTGTTGCATTTGCTGTGAATTCAGTAATATATAATTATTTGTTTTTGTCCTCATGTATTTATTTATTTACTTACTCCAATTGAAGGCCCTATAACACAGTGAAACATTCACAGGGGACCTTGAGGGCCGGGTAGGCTGGATTTGTCCAGGGACAAATTTTAACCCCAGTCCAGCCCTGTACCCGTCACTACGCAACAAATAATGGCGTGGCGGGCGCACTGGTTTCCTTTGCATTGAAGCAATAACGAAAAGTCAAAAAATGCCTGAAGACTCGCACAGTGTCTACACCAGATGCGACAAAATACTATAGAACCCATTATAATCGGTGATGCGGCCTACACTGGATGTGGCACAGCACAGCACGACAAATCCCCGACAGTAAACTGATGCCTCGTTCTATTTACGACGTAGGCCTACTGTTTGACAAAGTACAAATGATTTGCAATGGTCACTTTGTCGCATCCAGTGTGGACAGCCTCAAGCTGTTGGCTTACCTCAAACTATGTTTTTTTTTCATAATTTATTTGTTTAATTTTTTTGGCTAGTAGAAATTATGAATGGCCGGTAACTTAAAAATTTAGTAGCCAAATTGGCTGGTGAGTGAAAAAGTTAAATTCAAACCCTGCATACCCTACACTCAGCAAGCAATGTTGTATATAAAACACTATATAGGCACATTTAAAGATACATTTTACATTGTACGACAGGTTTATACTAAGAATGTTAAGTTTTAGAAATTGATTAAATCTTAAAGTCAAGTTGCTGTTTTCATACCTTTGTAATCATTTTCAGTCAATATTAAATTACTGAAAGAACTACAATTTTCACGTTGAAGTGTTTTTTTTTTAGGTTTGATATGTTTTCAAAGTAACTTGAAAGTAAAGTAATTAGTAATCTGATTACTTTTTACATTCAGTAATGTAATCAAATTACAGTTTTCAAGTAGTAATAAGTAATTTGTAATCAATTATTTTTTTTGAGTAACTTACCCAACACTGTTGGAGCATTGGGATTGCTAGACAAGGGCTTAATGAACTCATTTTTGTGAAAACCTCAAATTTGAATAAAATTGCATTTTTTTTTATTGATTAATTAATTTATTTTTTTGGCGTGTAGCTCAAAATTAGCCCGTGCGCATTCCAACTCATTTTGCCAGCATGGGTCACGTATGTGTGTTGGAGCAGGGTTGGAACAAAACTCCAACCCTGGAATTGAGTTTGACACCCCATGGGCTAGACGATTTAAATGCACACTAACCTCACTGGTGCCACCACCTTCATGGGTTATGAAGAGGATATGGCTGCACCTGCATGCTCATACCTTGTATTGTGTTCACTGTTTACTCAAGGGCTGTGTGCAACCTTTTGGCATTAATATACACAGATTTGAACAATGTCTTTTGGACAATCAGTGTTGGGTGTAACAAGTTTGCTTTAATGATCTTAAACCAGTGGTTTTCAAACTTTATAGGTTCAGAGTCATTCAGACTTGTCATAGTTCAAGGGCCCTCTCTAATACAGGCTATGATTTTTCCTCTTATGCTGAAATGTTAGAAACATTTTTTAAAAAGGTGTTTGTTTAAAAGGTGTTTAATCACTGAAACTAGTACTGTCAAATAATTAAACTTGATTAATTACAAGTCATTTCAAATAGAAATAGAAATGACTTTACAAATCAGGAAACTAACTTGTATTCAAAACTGGTCACACTGGTCAACTAGCATTTAACATTTCAAAAGAAACGTAACATGAGTAAATATCAGGTTGTTTGGAAAAGTACAGAAACCACAAAATTTGCCTATACAAACATGCTAACAGTTGTACGCTGCATTAAATAATGTCAAGTGAGAACTCAGTGGTGCTGTTTCTGTTAAATTTTTAGGAGATTTTGCATTTTAATGACTAAATTATTTGAAAAATCTCATTTAAATGTTCTAATTTGAAATATTGTTAAGACATTTGTTTGAGAAATGTCCTATACACTATTTAAATTTTTATTTTTTTGTATGAAAACTGCACAAAAAACATTTGACCATACTGTTTACTAACAGCAGTAAATGTGATTTAGCAGTTTACACTGTCTTTAAGGAAATTAAAAATGTTCATGCCTCTGGCATTATTCAGTTATGAGGAAGCATAGCTATTTTTAGTTATTACTTGAAATCACATGCTTTTAAATGTTTCAGGAGGATGGATAATTCTTTGTGCTGACCAATATGAACATCACCCCAAATCAAACACAGTCCAAATGTGCTGAGGTGAGTCATTATGGGAGGCATAGTGCTCTTTTGTCACTTAATAAAAAGTATATGATTAAAACAAACATTACTCGCTGAAATCAAATACCAAATAGTTAACTGATTTTAATGTAATTGTAAAATGTAATTATTTTAAACAATAGAGAAAAAAAAGCTGAACCAACAAGTAGCAGAATTAGAGAATACTGCTTGAATTGTTCTGTGTCAGTATCTTGTATCATGTATCTTAATCTTATTTTAACTTGAGTAACTTAGAATCCGACCCCAGCATCCATATGCACTTCTCACAGGGACTGCAAAAGGGGCTTCAATGATGCTCGTGGAAATGGTATGGCTCAGTATATACATTAAATGCAAGATGACACTAACTGTGACTTGTCATCTTTGCAATCCCATCTATTTGACACATACATAAAACATTTTATTTTTACAGGTGTTCGGACAGGCAGATGTGTCAATTACAATGACACGGTGAAGACTTGTGAAGTGCTGTCCTGGTGTCCTTTAGAGAAGATTGTTGAACCTCCAAAGTAAAATCCTAATCTCTTTGTCTCAAAATGTTTTATATATATAAATTTGATATGTGTGTGTTTGTGTGTGTGTGTGTGTGTGTGTGTGTGTGTGTGTTTATGTTTTTTTTTCCTTCTTGACATCTCAGTCCACCACTTCTGGCAGATGCTGAAAACTTCACTGTGCTCATAAAGAATAACATTCGTTATCCCAAATTTAACTTCAACAAGTAAGCTTTTTAAATGCATTGTTTTTGTTTTTACTTAGATGGCTGGGAAAAAAAGTCAGTGGATTGTCTGTTGATGTTTTAACTGAATGAAACATGCTCCTTATGTCCTTACAGAAGGAATATCCTTATAAATAGCTCCTACTTGACACAGTGTGTGTTCAGCCGCAAGACAGACCCTGACTGCCCAATCTTCAGACTCAAAGATATTGTTGAAAAAGCCGAAGAGGATTTTCAGACTATGGCAGTCCATGTCAGAGACTTAATTTATGTTTATCTGACATTGCTGAATTAAAATGGTCTTAATACTGACATTAGTAAATGTTTTAATAGCATTTTGTGTGTGATGGGAGTGCAGATCTGGTGGGATTGTAACCTTGACATGCCACAGAGCTGGCGTGTGCCTCGTTACACTTTCCGCAGACTGGACAACAAAGACCCTGAAAATAACGTGGGCCCCTGGTACAACTTCAGGTAGGAGGTGTTTGCAGTTAGTAAAAGCGGTTCCTGAAAGGAAGTGAGGTTGCATTAAATTAGTGTCCTTTGATTACATCTCTACAGATTTGCTAAATATTACAAGGACATTGATGGCACAGAGACCAAAACACTTATCAAGGTTTATGGTATTCGCTTTGATGTCTTGGTATTTGGCCAGGTGAGAGACTTTAACCTTTGTAATGTTATATATTATGCAGGTTAGCATCAATGTAGGTGTTTAACACATACTTAACACTTTTGTTTCTAATACAGGCAGGAAAATTCAATATCATACCAACACTTCTGAATATAAGTGCAGGCTTGGCACTTTTAGGCCTGGTACGTATGTCTTTTACTCACTGGAATACAATAATTTCAAAAATTAGATTCAGGACCGAGTTTGGGCACCCCTGTAAAGTTTACCGAGGACCCCTAGTGGGAGTCGACAAGCACTGCGGTAACGCTTGCATCCAGTAGGGGTCAGTAGAGAAACGCATACCTCACGATTCCTAGTTCAGGAGGAAGAGACCGTTTTTCTCCCGTTAATCATCATCAGTGCATGATGGCGGCTGCGTTGAGAGGGAGTCTCGTAACTGGCCAAGGTGAGTCTTGAAAAACGATTCTGTCCGTCTACAATGAAATATTCCTCATTTGTTTGAGTCGCACGGAAAATACAAAAATTAACTAGGAGACGAACAGCGTTATTTAGATGTATAAGACAAGTCTGGACTGGAACACATTGGGTGTAACATTTGATACATAGTAAAAACATGAAATATCAGATGACAGCTCACAGGAGAGGTCCCTTAGAAATTGTCTGGATGTAGAGACTTAAATAATTTACTTGGACCTCCATTACATCCATTTACACAGCGGTGGTACTATGGTAAACTGATGTTGTATGGTAAACTGATGTTGTATGGTAATATGTTAATTTATATTCTGTTTTTATGTTTTAATGGCATGAAGAAGCTTTTATGTATACTATACAATCAACTAATGAAAGAGAGAAAATTCAAATGAAATAGTAAGATTGCTGGTATCATACATTACATTATAGGCTTAACCGGATAGCCTATCAGATTGTGCTACCAGCATCTTATTCATGTGGTTTGAGGCTTTTTTAATGTCTATACCAGGGCTGTCCAAACTCGGTCCTGGAAAAATGACTTTTTTTCCCCCTTTTGGTCTATCTTCTCTTAAACTGCATTTTAGCTCTCAGAAGAAACACACATAAACAACATGTCTCAGTTGCTAATTATTTATTTTTTGAATTGTTACAAGGTTCTTGACAAAAAGAAAAAAAAGGCAACAAAACAACACCAGATAACATTAAAAAAATCTGTATTTGAACATGCATCTAACGACATTTGAGTTTAATTGCAGTCACTGAAAGTTATGAAAAGTTGTGAAAGTTATGATGCAGCAAAATACACAGCAACTAGGGACACAGTTTACAGCTTGAAAATAAACGACAAAAACAACGAGGAACGAAAGAAATGTGTTCGATTCGTGCTGTGTTTGGTGTTTAGTATCATCCACGTAAGCTACACAGCAAAACATTGTCATATGGCCATGATAAAGCGTTCTGATAAAAGCACATGCGAAACAATAAGCATTTTAGCCTATGTGAATAACATAAACAGCTGTACATCTAAACGGGGCGTATGAACATTCGGCTTTATTACCTTTTCAAAATAATTCATCACACAAGAGCTGAAGAACAGACAACACAATCCTTTCCATTCGCTTGTTTGTAGTTCAAAAGGCCACGCCCACCGCGGAACGAATCTATGAATATTCGTACTAACCCCGCCCATTGGAACAGTTTTTCACGGGAACCGAATATTACACAACACCGGCCCTCCAGGACCGAGTTTGGACAGCCCTGGTCTATACCTATACCTACCCCTACCCTAAACCTACCCATCTTCACCTACCCTTACCCTAAACTTACCCTTAAAACAACGTAAATATTTTTTTGGTAGCACAATCTGATAGGTAGCATGTTTCGTTGGTACACCGGAATAATAACATGTAGAATGAATGAAAGCTTATTTTACATAACGCTTATTCAAAATTCAATTAAAATAGATAGAAATAGTCTATTGTCAGGGCTGTCAATAATTTTGTGAATTGATGCAAGGGGGATGTTTTCTCTTTATTAGTAAACTTAAAATGTTCCTGGCCAACATACAGTATATTGAATTATCACCATCTGTGAAGTGCAATTTCAAACCGTACAGGTGGTTCACACAAACCTATTTCTGACTTATTATAGTCCTTAAACGGTCATGTCTGTTAAATGTGTCAAATGTGTCTGTGACACTCCAGAAATAAGAGTTGGTTGATCATCTCTATGATGTCCACCCATAATAGTACTTGACCTGTGACATTTTTGACCCCTCAGGGTCTGAGTGGTGCCTGGTTGCAGCCGTTGTGTGCTCGCTCTTTGAGTTTGACCTCCAGTCAGAATGTTTCGGAGACTCCCCCGGCACGGGCTGACAGCACCTTTAAGGTCACCATGGTTCCTGGAGATGGAGTTGGACCTGAGCTGATGACTGCTGTCAAAGAGGTTTTCAAGGTACTGATGCACTTTCTCAGTCATGTTTTTTTCAGACACAAGTAAACTTTAACACTGAATATGATATAATAGGCTTTAGTGTTTAGGGTTAAAAATCTAACCATTAGTGGCCTTCTTCTCATCCTTCATCCTGTGTTCCAGCTCAGCCCTCTTTCATGGCTTATACTTGCATCTCACTTGTTCCTACTGCCTTTTTCGCCTCATCCTCTAGGCAGCTGATGTTCCTGTGGAGTTTGAGGAGTTTCATTTGAGTGAGGTGCAGAACATGGCCAGTGAGGAGAAACTAGAAGAGGTGTTGTCCTCCATGAAGAACAACAGAGTCGCCATCAAGGGTAACATTTTAACTGCTGATCATGTCGTAATATTTTGGCTCTCAATTTAAAATGTTAAATTAGTGCAAGCTTATTTATATTTTGATGTACTGTACTGACAAATGCTAATTTGGCATTTAAAAGAAATGTTGATTCAGTTCTTTCTGTGCTTAGGAAAGATTCACACTCCTATGGTACTTCAGTACTGAGGTACTTCTTTAAAGGGGTGGTTCATTGCGATTTCACTTTTTTAACGTTAGTTAGTGTGTAATGTTGCTGTTTGATCATAAACAATATCTGCAAAGTTACGAAGCTGAAAGTTCAATGCAAACGGAGATATCGTCTTTTAAAATTCTGGCAGTTTAATGCCTACAAAAACAACAAGTTACTTCCCGGGTTCATGACGTAACAAACCCAGATAAACTGCTGCACTGCTTTAGAGAAGAGGAAGAGAAAAACTAGAGTTGCACGTAAAAATCTATTCATATATGAATCGCGATTCTGTCTTCTAACGATTCTTATGGATTCACAAGTTTCAAGTGATTATGTTTTGAATATGGATATTTTTCTTACCAAAATGCATCGATTCGCTACAGAAGGCCTTTGTTCACCCCCCGGAGCCGTGTGAGACACTTTTTTTTT